GGGGGGGGGGGGGGGGGGGAAGGAAAGTGCTGATGTGGGGAGCTGAGCCAGGGGTGTCTCGTCCCACTGCTGGCACAGGGCTGGGCCGTGGTGCCGTCTCACCTGGTCATGTCCACCGTGGTGACATTGAACTTGACCCCTTTGAGCCACAGCACCATGAAGAGGCGCTGGCAGAAGGGGCAGTTTCCGATGTTTTCTCCATCCAGGCCAGCCTGCCGGGAAAGCAGAGAAACGAGGATTTAACTCATCAACTGGGCTCACCCAGCCCAGATGGGATGCCTGGAGGTGGAGAGCCACCAGAGCAGGTCTCGGGAGGAAAGCACATGGAGGGCTTGGCCCGGCACCCCAGGATTGCATGCTGCAGGGAGCCCCTCCCAGCACTGGGGGCTCAGCTGTAGGATCCCCTCCCTGAGCCATGGCCCTGCTGCCACTGGAAAGCATTGGAGAGCATCCTCAGGATGCCCCGGGTCAGATCTTTCACAGAAATGTGAGATAAAGCTGGGAGGAAGAGGAGAAGGAGACAGGGGAAGGAGGTGGAGGGTGATTGCTGATGGATGGGGAGGAAGGGTGGGTCCACTTGGCTGGGAGGCCAGGCTGAAGAGGGAGGCGAGAAGGGAAATGTGCTCATGTTTGCCAGGAAAAGAGCAGTTTGTTTTCATGTGCTGTTAGTGTCTGCCTCTGGCTTTGTGTGCATTTAACGAACCTATGCATGACTTCCCTGGGCTGATGATGGCCAAGAACCACCCAAGCAGCCTCCTTGGCCTCGGGGAGGAGAAGGCACCAGGGGCAGCGGGGCTGTGCAGAGGTGGATTTGCACTGGCATCCCACCCAGCATCGGTGGGGAACAGAGCCGCATGTCAGCTCCTAAAGCTTCGACCATGTGCAGACAGTCCCTTTCCATCCCTCTGCATGGACACAGCTGTGGCGTCTCAGCACTCAGGGGGCTGCTCTGTGACTGGGATGGGGTCAAACCGCAGTGGGGACATGAGAAAGTGGGGAGCTTGGACAACCTGTTTGAGTCCCACCAGGGCTCCCTCATCAGGGTCTCACCCAGATGGTGGCCATTCAGCAATCCCAATGGAAAGCAGCAGCAGGTGGAGTGAAGCCCATTTCCTTGCTATGTAGCAGCTGGAACTATCCTTTGCAAAAAGGACTGAAACTCCTTATGAGGAGTTTGGTCAAGAGCAATGTGGCAGGTTCCCCTCAGTGCATGAAAACTGGCACAGATGCTGCTCAGAGAGGGAAGTTGCGCCGTGGAATGAGAGGTAAAATGGCTCACAGGAGATTCAACTTCTTTAACAGAATTAACTGGTTCCTCTGGCATGTGTGGTAGTCCTGCCACTGCAGGGAAGAGCAGCACAGCTCACACCAGCTCCTTCATGGAGGGATGCTGCTCCCACGGAGCAGCTTGTGTCGGCATGTGAGCCCCAGTGGGATGGCTTGTGCCCCGTGGCTCTGCACTAAGCCTTGATATCAGCTGGTGAGCTGAAGCCAGAGGCTAAGCAGGAGGGTGATGAGATTTGGGAGGATCTGGTGGTGCAGAAGTCAAGCAGCAGCAATAACATCCAGAGTGGGCAGCTGGATGGCTCCAGGGCAGTGGGCTCCAGAGCTCGCACCTCACCGGGGCCCCAAAGACAGGATGGCTGAGGATGCTTCATTAGCAGAAGATGCAGAGACCTGTGCCTGGCTCTCCTGGGCTTGAGGTAAGTGCTACGAGTCACCTGTCTGTATCTACAGGTGTCCAGAAACCTGTGGACTCTGGAGTGCTCAGCTTCTCTAGGAGAGATACACCAGCCTCAAACTCACCCTAAGGGAGACGGTAAACTGATCAAAATAAAACCCTTACACTCTGAGTGGTCAGCTGGAGGTGATGGTCTGCTTTTCCACTATGCCAACACCTTTTAGTACTTCCAGAGGAATGAAAATTACTTTTAACCAGTATTTCCTGTGATCAGCTGTCATGAAATGATGCTCCTGAGAAAGGAAATGGGAACTGAGAAATGTATTGATTCTCTGGGATATACCCAGAAGTGAAGCTGAATTCACATGAGGCTTTTTGCTGGCTATTAATAAGAAAAGCTCCTGGGTAGCTGCCACTCAGGAGTGTCCCATGTCAGCTTATAACAAATAAGGCTTCTTTGGTAACAGATAAAATTGTGTATCAGATGTCCTGTGGGGTAGCTGGCAGGGAGAGTCAGAAAACAGCCATGAGGGCTACGCATTGGCATGAGAGCAGGGCATCCCTGCTCCCCTTCTCTTCTCCATCATCGCTGGCACCTACAAGCCAAAACTAATGCCATCCTTTGGAGCATCTCCAACACCAACAGCTCAGAAGATGCTTTTGTGGCTGCCCGGCACGAGGACCGATGCTCTCCTCCTTGCTCTCCTGAGATGGCCCTTGCTGGTGGCAGAGGAAAGGGCAGCCAGCCAGCTGCGCTCCCCTTTGCTTTCCTCACTCAGCACAAGGCTGGGAGCAAGGGGGCTTAATTGCAATTTATCTTGTTGGGCCCCATGGGAACTGTTGTGCTGAGGCAAGGCAGCAAGTGGCTCTGGTGGAGTTGCACGAGGGGCAGCGGTGGTGCTGGAGGGGACGGTTGGGTGGGTGGGATGTCCCTCACTGGGGCTGCTCTGGGCTCAGGCAGTGCTTGCCTGCTTCAGGCTTCTCTGTACTTGTCTTGTAGCTCCAGCCTCTGAGCAGCTCAGGCTGGTTTTTCCCCTTGTCTTTTAAAAATAGACACATGGGCAATTTTGGACCAGAGTGAAAGGAAAATCAGGATGGCCTCTGTAGGGGAAAAAAAAATTAAACCAGGCCCCATCCTAGGATGCTCAGAGCCAAATCTTTATCTGGAGGAAGCAGAGGGCAGCTCCACCAGCGCTTGGGCACTGCCGGGGGGGGGGGGCACTGGACTCTGGCATGGCCCTGCTGGCATCTGTGTGGTCATGGGGAGAGCCCTCCAGGAGCCAGGGGAGCTCAGGGGAAAGCAGTTTGGGGAGACTCATAGCCACACACCCTCCTCTCCAGCAAAAGCCAAGCAGCATGGCAGGGAAGTCACCGCTCTTCACTTCCTTCTCTGGAGAGAGCCTCCTCCCCTGCTCTCCCCAGGCTGCAGCAGGGACACGGGCGGGGGGTGCAGAGCCTGCAGCCCCCCAGACTGACTTTCCTCACTCTTTTCCCCTCCGGATGATGGATAAAACCAGCGTGGGCTAGTACAGCGTCTCCAGGGAGGTGCAGGTTTTTAGCCCCAACTCTCTGAGGCCTCACGAGGCTGCATGAGGCATTAAAACCCCAAAGTTACTTAGCAGTTCCTGTGGTTTTCCCCTCGGTGAAACAACATGAAATGCAGTGGGAGGAGGGAGCAGCTCTGCATGCTTGGGGCACTGCTAAGTGCTCAACACCCACTGCGCCCTGCCCATGGTTCCTACAGCCACCCTGAAAGCTGGGAAGCAGCCTTGGGGGCGGCTAAATGCCTCGTGGGACTGAGGGGCAGAGCCTCCTTCCAGGCAGGGAGAGCCCCCCAGCCGGTGGGATGATGCTCTCACTGGGACCACAGCAGGGTCAGAAATTGCCAGCTCTTTGGGAACCACCTGCCCCAACCCAAAGGCAATGCAGGAGCTGCTTCACACCCTCCCCATCCTCACCAAGTTAAGTTCAGCATTTGCCAAAATGAAAGCTGGGCAGGGGCGGTGTGTCAGTAGGCGCCTTCAGGAGCACCGGCTACCCCTGTGATTTACAGCTATTGCAGGTTATACCGACAGCTGTGTCTCACAGCGGACCCCAGCCCAGGAGAGGTGCAAGGTGCCGATGGCACGGAAGGGTGCCTGTCTGCAGCCAGGAGCTGCTGTGACTTCGGTAAAACTGGGTCCTGAATGGTAGGAGAAGAAGGCACAGCATCAATTTGTCTGTTAACAGACAAGCCAAGAAGGGTTTTTTCGTGCTAAATTAAGGCGTAGGGGAAGTCCTGACGATGCTGCTGCTTTGTTTTCTGTTTCCCTTCCCTCTGAAAACCCCCTTGAAGGTGCTGCCACCATTGCAGTGACCTTATGTATCGTTTTCCTCTTCTCCCCAGCCATTCAGGGAAAAAGTGTGCTAAGAAGGGAATTCAAGACCCGAATTACTTTCACCAAGAAAATACACTTGTCTGGATTTGGCTCAGCCGAGCTCGGTGCCTGGCAAGCACCACCGTGGCCACAGTTTTGGCAAGGGGATGGGGGGGATCCTTCCCACAAAGGCTCAGATAATCCTTTCCGACACATATTTTCAACTACAACCCAATCAAGGTGCCACACGGTGCCCAGCACTGCCAGGTGCCTGCACCAGGGAAGCCAGTGCCTCCGGCCAGGCACCACGGTCCTTTCGGGCACCAAGCTGCCCTAGGAGGAGAGGAGCAAAGCCCATGGGGCTGAGCAGCTGCAGGGAAACCACCCTTAAAACCTCGATGTAGTGGCATAGGGAGGCACTGCTCCCCCCCATCTGCTGTCACTTGACACTGTGTCCCGGGGCCCCGCTGGCATCACTACTGGCACACGCAGTTACCAGCTTACCAGCCGCCAGCTTTGGCTCCTCTCTTTCTACACCCCACATGTCCACTGCAGGTATTTTGAACTTGAGTGTTAAAATGTTCCAGGGGAAGTGTTTGGAAAATTGCTTAATGGGGGGGGGAGGCAAACCAACATTTCCAGCGAATAATCCCCCTGGGCTGCTCTGTGAAGCTGCCCCATCCCGCCCACATGTGGGCACCCATGCCGGCTCCCCAAGCCGTCCGTGCTCTGTTTTGCAACCCTGGCTCACAGGAGAAGCTGAAGTGGCTGCTCTCAGCCCTCCCGCTCACAGTTCCCAGGCTGGGGCTTCTCTTATCTGGGCTTTGAGAGGTGCATGTGTGCCCACTCCTTCGTTATGCCAGCTGCCAGCAGTGCTCTTCCCCTGGGGTATGTGAATACCACAAGACTAGGGCATCTTCTAGGATGCTGGGCGTGACACCCCACTGGTCCCCATGCCACCGTGTGCCTGGTCCCCTCCTCTGGGCACCCACTTAGCCAGCCCTCATGGTGAGCAATCCCAAACTTGGTACCCATCTCCAGCCTCCCGAAACATGAAGACACCCGCAAATTTCCACTGCCTACGCCCAGCTGGAGCCTGGTGAGGATGAGCCTGCGGGGAACTGCCAAAGAGTCCCCCCCCTGAGACCCACCTTCACAAACAGCTCGATCTCAGGCTCCTTGGTGGCGTTGTGCTGCCGACTCTCCATCCCAGCAGTGTGAGGAGGGACTGCTGGCCGCTCACTGCTGTGGTGAGTTGGTCCGTCCTTTGTGGAGCGCTGACGGCGGAGGGTTTTGGAGGGCTGGTGGCTCGAGCACCCCGGCTGTGCTCGCGCCCCGCGGAGGGCTGGGGCTTGCCCTTTCCTTCCTTTTGAAGCGGGGAGGAGCGATGGGGTGTGCGCCGGGACCTGCTGGCGGGGAGGGGGAAGCTGCAGGGCCTCCCAGCCGTGACTCAGCATGGGTCTATCTGGACGTGTTCATGGATCCCCTTCCAGTCTATCGCACCCGCCCAGGCGCTGCTCCGGTGCCTCCGAGCAGTGGGCTGGCGGCCCAGGCGGCCCCGGCACTGCTGCTGTCACCTCCCAGCTGTGAGTGGAGGGGTTTTGCAGAGGAAGCATCTCGCCTGCTGCTCCTCGTGCTGCTCTGGTCTGGTCTTACCCCTTTGCCATCTTCCCACCCTTGCACCCAGACACCGGTGCCCCAGGGCTCACCAATTCTTTATCTCTTTGGGGTGAACCAAGCTGACCTTCCCACTGCCTTCCCCCCTCCTGCTGCTGCATCATGATGGGCAGCTGCTAGGAGGGAGGGTACAGCTCCTCTCCCTGCCCACCACCCCCCGGGGTCCCCCCGGGTGGGCTCCTCTGAGCACCCCCCATTGCAAGGAGTGGGGGCTGAGCAGGGTGAGGGTTCAGGGAAGCCAAGTGGGGCAGCCTGGCCGCCTGCCACCGGCTCTTTGCAGCTGGCCGAGTGCTGCCAGGGTGCAGACTTTAGGCAGGAAGGACTGCAAAACAGCCAACGAGGGAAAGCAAAGAGGCTGGAGCGTGTCAGGGTGCAGCAGGGAACCCCAGAGCACCACTGGCAGCAGCCCAGCTGGGGTGGTGCATGGTGGGGTGATGGGAAGGGATGTCTCCAGGGCTGACGCCCAGCAGGGCCCTGTTCCTGGAATTTGGGCTGTTTCGCAGGAAGGATGACCGGCTTGCTTTCCTCCCCAGGATGGGAGGGAAACATTTGCTGTCAGATTGTCCTGGCTGCCATCCCAGTGGAGACGGCTTCCCAGCACCCATGGGCTTAACTCTTGGGCAAGTCCCATCTCGCACCTCAGGACCCCATAGCTGGTACTGAGCTTTGCACAAAATGGGGATCCTGATTGCTTGACTCAGCATGCCCCCAGCCTGCGTAAGCTCAGACTTTCCTAAAAATAATCAAACCCTGATAAGAAAGCATCCACCCCGAGGTAATTAGGCTAGGAAATGATTTTGCAGGCTCCCGGAGGAGTCTCCCCAAGGGAGATGTTTCTCCTGGATACTGCTGCACAGCCCAGAGTGGTGCTTACACTGGCAGCCGCTCAGGAGGGGGGGGGGGGTTCAAACCCTGATAAGAAAGCATCCACCCCGAGGTAATTAGGCTAGGAAATGATTTTGCAGGCTCCCGGAGGAGTCTCCCCAAGGGAGATGTTTCTCCTGGATACTGCTGCACAGCCCAGAGTGGTGCTTACACTGGCAGCTGCACAGGAGGGTCTGGGGGGCATTTTTCTTTCTGCCCCATCAAATCTTTTGGAGAATTTGAAACTCCACCCAATGGGACAGGAAACTCTGCCTGACATTCTTATAAACAAGAGGGATGAATTAATGGCATTGTGAATGCCAAGCAGGGCCACAGCAAGCACCCTCAGCACAAGCTCGGCACCCATCTTGTTCCCCCCACCCAGCTCCCGCTGCAGACCCGTGGGTGATGTGTGCCGGTCCCTGCTGCTGCCCTGGCCCCCACCTTGCTGCCCCTTCCCGAGTGATGCTGAGCCCGTGGGGAGCCACGCCGGCTCCTGGCACTGCCGGCTGCTGCCTTCTCTGCTGACCTCAGCTGGGGGACAGAGCGAGCAGCTCCTGCCCATTGTGTTTCCCTCCAAGCTGCCAGCTGAAGCAGCAGGCAGGGATTTAACTCCTGCGGGGTGGGGGACACGGGTATGGCACAGTGCCCTCCTCGTGAGGTGTCAGAGTGCCTCATATCTGGCCCTGCGGAGGCTGTGGGTGCAGAAGGGCAGCAGCAAAGAGGTCCCTGCCCACGGTGTTTGATGCAGGGAGGGCGTTTGCCTTTTCTGCAGGAACAGCTGCCTTGGGAGGCAGTGCAAGCAGCCCTTCCCTTCCTCCTCAAATGGTGAATGGCCGGACGTTTGCTGAGATGGAGATTACAGCACACATGTATCCGGATTTCTGCCTCACCGTGTCTGTAAGAAAGCAGGGGGCACGCTGGAAACCTCGCCAAGCCCCGTCTCTCTGCTCAGGGGGAACGGAGATGGGAGGGAAGGGGCTGCTGATTTCTCCGCCAGCAACAGTGATGCCAAGGCATGGCACCTGCTCACTCCCCACAGAGCGCCTTTGAAAACATGTCCCTCCCTCCCTGTGGGAGGTGTCCCTGTGCTGAGAGTGTCCCAGCTGTCCAGAGCAGCCCCTTGCCCTGGGCAGCAGACAAAGAGCGGGTACACAGGCGCCCGCCCGGCCCCGGCGCTTTGGCAGGGCAAGAGAAGTGAGCCATTGTCCCTGTGCACTGCCAGCCCCAGCGCCAGCCACTGCTGAGGACCAGACTAGCAGAGGCTGCCTGGTGGGACGCAGCAGAACCGGCAGTGGTTGCACCATGGCTGGGCTGGTGGGGCCAGCAGCAGCCCTGGTCCTCCTCTGCCTGGCCGTGGGGCTGAAGGCCAGCCCGGAGCTCTCCGGTGAGTTGGGGCGCGGGCAGGGCAACGAGGGATGCCGGGGACCATGCCGGTGTGAGCAGAGGGTGAAGCGACAGCTGGGTTGGTGGGGTAGGGGCCAGCAAGGCACAAACCAGTGCAGGCCATAGGGAGTTTGCCAAAAAAACTGGGTTTTTTAATCCCCACGGCAGGGCTGGGGTCTGAAAACACCCCGTGCATGTCCTGCAGCCCGGTTGTGAGCAAGGGAGCGGCTCCCCCTGCTGCTGCTGCGCTCCCTTGGACAGTTTGGAGGCAGAAATGCAAAAAACCGAATCTTAAGACAGTCCCCGAGCTTTCCTGAGACCCCCCTGGCCATGATGCTCTTGCCCTTCGTGCTGGGTGGTGTGTGGAGCTGAAGCCTCCTGGAGCACCCAGGGCTGCCCTGCAAGCCTTTGCTGCTCTGAGAAGGCAAGGGAAGAGATGGGCTGAAGCTCTACCCAGTCCCTGGCCAGAGCCGGTGGCTGTGGTCCCTAGCCAGAGCCACCCATGAGTAGGGGGGCTGCAGGGTGCACTGCCACAAGGCACAGCAAGGGTCAGATCCTCTCCCTGGGATCTGCTGAGGCAGAAATTTGGGATCCCTTGTGACTCAGCACTTGGGACAGTCAGGATGGGTGCAGGCAGGCTGGGTGCCTGGGGGCTGCCAGTCCTCTGAGGGATCTTCCAGAAACAGCCATGCACACCTTCCACTCCGCTCTGCCATGCCCGGGTGACACGAGAGCCCGGCACGATGCCACCAAGCGTGGCAGGGCAGGCTGTGGCGGAGAGGATGTGATTTCATCTGGGCAGAGCTAACTGCACAACCGCACCATCAGGGACTGAGTCAGCAGCACCAGCAGGCGACCGGAATCACTCACAAAATCTGCCTGCAGCCTCCTTGCCATGGTTTCACCCAAAAAAAAAACCAAACCCCATTTTCGCAATTGCTCACTGCCCAAAAATGGTATCATGGAGAAACCTCTGTCCCTGTGGTGCTGTTTTAAAATACAAACTGCCAGTGCTGCCAGCCAGCACAGCAGCAGAGGAGGCTGCCTGCTGCAAGGCAGGCTGGATTTGGGGAAACCCATTTCTCCCCCTATTCCTCCCTCATGTCCCCCACCATCCCCAGGATTTGGCTCAGCCCCCTGTGCCCAGGGCTGTTCCAGCAGCGATGTGTTTGGGCAGCTCCGCCACCAGCCATCTCGGGGATGGGCAGGCGGGTTTGGAGTTCGTGCCAGGCAGAAGTCGAGCCCCAGGTGGCTCTGGAGCCTGCACAAGAGCCTGGCTGCTGCCACAGGCATCACAGGCATGGAGCTGATGCAGAGGAAGGACATAGGGGCCGGCAGCCAGGGCAGGGTCTCATGCCCCTCATGGCCCCCAGTGTCCGGTGATATGGGGCAACTGGAGGAGAGGGGCAGGATGGGGCTTGTCCTGCCCCCCTCTTTGTGGGCATTGCACCCCAAGGGGCTGATCCAGCTCTGTGTCCTCCAAGGAGCGTCTTTGCATCTCACTGGAGCTTTGACCTGGCTAAAACAGCTTGTCTGCTCCCATCCACCCTCCTCTGCCTCTCCTTTCCTCGCTCCTCCAGCATGCAGAGGAGTGAGCAAGGGCTCGCTTGCACAAGACTGTGGCCCCCACACTCGCTCATCCCAGCTTGCAAGGACAAATGCCAGCAGCTGCCCGTGTCCAAGGGAAAGATTAACTCTGAGTGGGGTCAGCTTCCAGCCACGTCCGCTGATGTCTCCCAGGGAGGGATGCTGGCTGCAGATGCCAAAGGGTTAGCGGCAACAGGGAAGGTGAAAGGGGCCCTTTGTGCAGCTGAGCCTGGCACTGGTTTGCAGAGGGACAGAGGGAGAAGCGCGGGGCTGGGAGCCAGTGCTCCCACCTTTTTGTATTGGTTTGGGGGAATTTGACACGCTGCGGGCTGGGCAACAGGGTGCATGTCCTGCCCTGGACCCCAGCACTAGGCTGGGGCTGGGGTGCGAGTCCCTCCAAGGACCCTACAGCTGGGGACTGGGGTCTGTGACCCACCCAGGGTCCTGCCTGCCAGGTACCGGGTTGCCCTGTCCCCACCTCCCAGCCTCAAAATGATGCTTCCCCTTTGCTTTTGTTATATTCAAAGGCCTGATGCAAACTGCTCTGTCCAGGGCCCTACACATCATTTTTTGTCAGCTTTTCCTGCTTCCTCAGCCTCTTCCAGCAACCAGTGCCTGCTCAGAGCACCCCTGACAGCTTGCAGAGCTTTTATTAGAACAGGTTCCTTGCTCACCCAGCACCCAGCACAGCTGATACCAGCCAGAGCTGATAGCTGCATGTTAAACCCTCTTAAAGGCTGGGCAGGACAGCCCCACCTTACTGTCCCTTGTAGGGAAAACAACAGGGTAAGTAAGTGGTTTGGGACGCAACCTAGACAGGATTAAAAGAGAGAAATACCCCACACTGGGAATTCAGGGAGAGTAGGGCCAGTGCCCGTCAGAAAGGCCGTGGGCTGGGAATGGCTTGCATCGATGCACAGGGCTTCTCCGGCAGAGAGACCCGGGGTCAGTTGGGCTCAGATGATTACTTGGTGGCTCACACCCATCCATACCGACCCAGCCAACTGCGGGAGCTTGCAGCAGCCACTGGACCCTTCTCTCCTCCAGCTCATGGCTCCGCATCGTGTGACAGAAAGTATCCTCCTCTCCCTGACTCCAGTGATCATCTCTGGATGATCATCTCTGGCTCATCATCTCTGGCTCATCCTTGCTCTCTCCTCCCCATGTCTCCATAACAAGCCTGATTTTCTCTAAACCCTTGACTACTCCTCATGGGATCCTTCCATACATGTTTTTTCTGACTTGTCATCCTGCCTCCAGCTTTCGCTTCCCTTTGCTAACCAGCTCGGCTGCTCCATGCTGCTTTCCAACCTCTTGGCTGCAATGCTGGATGTAAGATTTGCTGCAAGCCCGCCTTCTCTGCTGCAGCCCCACTCTGGTCCTGTTTGCCCCATAAGTGCCCCAGCCCAGGACGTCCTCACTGCCACCTGCTGTCAGGACCCCAAGCACTGCCACTGCCATGGTCCCAGTGTCTCCTCCGGCCAACGCCGCCTGTGCTCTCCCCTTCCAGGGTACCTGCGTAAGGTGCTGAGGAACCACACCACCCACACGTGCGACGGGGAGCAGCTCCTCATCATCTGCCCTCACAAGACCACCATCAGCATCCTTGGTGCCTTCTACGGGCGTCGCGTACCCAGCCCCAACCTCTGCCCCAGCCCTGGCAATGCCTCCCACGAAAGCACTGAGTGCACATCCACCACTGCCCACCTGGTAAGTGTGGGCAGCCCCAAGGGACCAGGCTGCACACACACCCCCTTCCCCAGGTCACTGGCCTGCCTGCTTGGGCTGGGTGGCTGCAGGCAGCACAGCCTCCCCGTGCCCTGAGGGAGGCTGCTGCCATTGGCATCGGGATTCACCCTTGGGGTCCTTTTCCTGGAGCATTTATGGGAGATAAGGGTGGACGAGACCTTCTGTGGTGGGTCCCAGGGTGGGGCTGCCCTGCCAGAGGAGCCTGGCAGGAGGCACTGCTGCATCCTGAGCTGGCTTTTGGAATAATCCCGCAGGACGCAGCAGGCTCGGAGAAAGCCCTGGCAGCTGGGGTTGGGTCCCAGAGAGAGGTGGTGCAGCAGCTGGGGTACCAGGCTCAGGAAGCAGGACAGTGGCCCACGAGGGATGCTGCGCTCAGCCCTGCAGGTGCATCCCCTAGGATTAGCACAGAGCTTGGCTCTTCCCCAGCCAGAAGCAGCACTCATCCATGCCGGCAGCTCCCAAGAAGCGGATTAATGAAGCAAGCCCAAAGGAGGGTCTGTTGATTGCAGTAGCCAGCACAGGGAGAGGGGAGGAAGGCAGGGGGTGGCAGAAGGGAAGGGACCTCTCCAAAGCTGATGCCTGGCTGGGGGAAGCACTTGCCGGGCTGCTCCAAAAGCCCTGCAGCCTGCTCCGTGCTGTGGCTGTGCTTGATTCCTCTTTGTGTTTGGAGGAAAACCCTGTGCCTGGTGAGGACATCAGCCCTCCACCAGCCCCACACATGAGACTTCATGAGCAGCTTGAGGAATGGGGCAGAGAGGAGCTGGGAGGGATGTCGTCCTTTGGTGTCCTGCAGCTTTACCCTGGCTTCTGGCTCTCCACACTGGCACAGCTGGCCTCAGCATCCATGGCCTTGGGATGCCTTGGACCAGACCAGCTATTGCAGCTGGCAGCAGCCCAATCCAGGCATCATAGCAGTCACCTGGAAGGGAGCAAGGAGAGCAATAACGCTCATTCTGCAAAGCCTTGAGGGTGTGTCCTTTGCCAGTCAAACTCCTCCAGTTCTCAGCAACTTCAACTTTGGCTGAACACTGGAGCCCCATCTCCCGGGGGCTGCGCTCACCCATGACCCCCCTCTTCCCGCAGAAGTGCCTGGGGCTGGAGCTGGCCTTGTAGTCACAGAAGCCTGGTCGCTGCCTTTTCCGGAGCCCTGCTTGGCCAGGCAACGCTCCTCGGCCCCAGCTGCAAGTCCCTGGTCCAGCTACTCAGCTCTACCCATGGCTGGGGAGACACTGCACTCGCTGGCTGCGGGAGAGCGGGTGAGATGGGCAATGCACCATGCCATGCCAGACACAGCATGCCTGAACCGTACTCGCTTCTCCCTCCTGATCACAAGGCTCTAACAAACCCAGGGCAGCCAGGATGCATGGTGGGGGCTGGCAGAAGGGTCCCTTGATGGGGTCAGGGTTTCATGTGCTACTTTTCTATTCCTGTTCCAGTGCCTTGCTAGGGCTGGGACAAAATTGCAGCAAACCCAGCTGCGTGCAGCTGCCTGTGGGGAAGGGGAACATGGAGCCGGAGAAGAGGAACAAGAGCTGAGGAGCCAGTTCCCTGCTGTGGGAGCTTTGCTGCCCTGTCCTGCTCCAGCTGCAGATCCACACACACACTACACACACACACCCCCACACCCCCGGCATCCCACATGTCCCAGGAGCTCTGCAAGCGCTGAACCGGACCATGCTGGCATGGCACCAAGCAGGCCCTGCAAACCCTGCAAACACAGGTCAGCGTCCCCAGAGCTTGTGTGTCAAGCACAGGATACAGCCTGGCACAGACGTTTGAAGACCAAAGGGCAGGTCTGTGAGCAGGATCTGTGTGGCTCAGGTTTGCAGCAAGATGGAGCCACTCCACCCAGGGGACTGTGACCGCACAGGGCTGGGTTCCCCACTAGCTGGAGACTGCTGTTGGAAGAGACAGGACGTCTGGAGAGCAGAGAGCAAGGCTGCTGCTGAGGCTCAGCTCTGTTTAGGCAAAACCTGGGGAGAGAGATTAATTGCATTTCCTCCTTAAATTTCACTTCTGGCAGCCAGGAAAGACCAAGAGGAGGCTCAGTCCTGTGCTGGGGGGGGACAGTGACAAAGGAGGGGAAGGAGAGATGCAAAGGGACTCCATCGTCTCAAGTGGCGGGATCCCAGGGCCTGAGTCGCAGGGCAATTTCCAAGAGGGGTGGCAGCGAGGGTCGGGAACAAGCTGTGGCCCCACTCCCCGCCCCCGCCACCAGCAGCCTCTGCTCAGGCTGTGGGTTTGCTGCTGCTGGGGCTTGCAGCATGCCCAGAATCCCAGGGGGATGCTGGGGGCCAGGAGCCACAGCCCCACGGCCAGCCCAAGCCCAGGCTGCCCGGGAGATCCCTGCCAGAGCCACGGGCCCTGCTCGGCCACCCCGCAGGTTTGGCAGCGTCGCCTTTGGGCGGCCGTGGGCAGGCAGTGACAACGGGCAGCGGCAAAGGCTGCCCCGGTCTCCAGCAGGGACGCTGCCCGAGGTGGTGTGAACCCTCGTCCCCATCTTGTGGCCGCGCGTTTGCATTGCATGGAGCCCTGCTGGCGTGGGCGTGGGCGTGTGGGTGTGAGTGCACAGGTGTTGCACGGAGCTGCATCGCTGTGCACACCTGCACGAGTGTTGCACGAAGCCGTGTCAGTGTGCACACCTGCACAGATGTTGCACTGGGCCACGTGAATGCGCACGCATGCATGGCTGTTGCACAGAGCCATGTCAGTATCCACGCCTACATGGGTGTTGCAGGGGGCTGTGTTAGCGTGCATACCTGCACGGGTGTTGCACACACATGGCATGGTGCAGTGCTGGCATGCATGCCGGCACAGGTACTGGCAGAGCTGTGCTGGACAGCTCTGTGTGGGTGCGGGGGAGTAACTGATTCAGGAACTGACACATGAAGCAGGGTGACTGCGGTGGGGGGGGGTGGGGCATGAGCAGCCATAGGACACCTCTGCGGGGTGAGAGGCCATTTCCCTGAGCCTGGTGATGGCACCGAGGGAGAGGAGGCAAGAACAGCCTCAGGACTCCTCACCCATCTTCACGTCTATCCCACTTTGCTCTCCAGAAGCTGCTGGCTGAGTGCCAGGACCAGCAGTGGTGCCAGTTCTCAGTGCACAGCCAAGTCTTTGGGCCGGACCCATGCCCTGGGACACACAAGTACCTCATCGCTTCCTATAAGTGCCGGCCAGGTGAGGTGGAGCAGGGTCTGGGCAACACTGCATGGGCTCTTCCCTGGCCTCAGCTGCTCAGAAACAGGCAGAGAGGGGAGCCGAGCTGCTCCTGTATCTTGCAGCCCTCCTCCAGCCTGCCCTTGGCAGCTCTCAGACCGTTGGCTGGGCTAAGGGAGGAGGGGGCTGCAGGTGATTTGGGATGCATTGGGACGCTCTGTGGTGTCACTCCCCAGGGAACCATCGGGTCAAGACCGCATGCGAGAACGACAAGCTGAGGCTGCAGTGCCGACCAAAATCCGTCCTGGCCATTTATTCTGCAAATTACGGACGATTCCTGCGGGGCAAACCGGAGTGCGATGCCCTGAACACTGGGGGACCCTATATAGGTATGCTGGAATAGTTCGAGCCCAGAATGGGGCCAGGAGCCATGCAGAGCACGTGGCACAAGTATGCCATCGGGCTGTACCTGTGCCCCTTGGCCCCAGCTGGCTGGTGCCCAGGGGGCGGGGGCAGGCAGGTCTGCCCACAGGTCCATGCCCCATGTCTTTGCAGAGTGCTTGGCTCCGGACGCCCTACGGAGGGTCTCCAAGAAGTGCCACCGCAAGGCAAACTGCACTGTGGCTGCTGACAGGGCCACCTTTGGGGACCCGTGCCCCCCCGGCACAAAGAAACAGCTGCGAGTCTCCTACACCTGCGGTGAGAGCAACCCACAGGGCTGGGGGCGTGGTGGCTACTGGCTGAGCCCCTGCTGTGCCCACCCCATGCCATGTAGGCAGGGACGCAGGGCTCCCTGGGGAGGCAGGGGGCTGCTGGGGACAAGCAGGGTGGTGATGCTCAGTGTGTCCTCTCCTTGCAGTGCCCAAGCAGCTGCTGGAGGAGGTGGGCCCTGACACCTCGGACCCCTTCCTGCTCTCGGACTACATGCATGGTAATGTGGGGGGGAGGCTATGCCAAAAGCGGTGTGGCATCGTGTCCGCGCCCAGGTGAACTACCCCTTCCATGGCCTGTCTGCGTCCATGGTACCCACCACTGGCACGAGCCCTGCAACTCTATCCCAGCATCGCTGTCCCATGGCTGAAGCCACCCATCGGTCGGTGCCCATGTCTGAAGGGCTGGAGAGATGTGGTCTGCTGGGAGCAGGGGAGAGGAGGACCCACAGGGGAACATCCCCGTGGGCAGAGGAGCGCTTGTGCAGGAAGGAAGGAGTGTGGCATGGGGAAGGAGGCAGGCAGGGGGCAGGCAGCCAGGCAGCGGGGCGCTGGGGAGCACCTCATGTCTCAGCCTGCGTCCCCTTGTTCGCTGCAGGTGGCTGGTACAAAGGGCCCAGGTTCTCCAGGCTCCGGGAAGACCGGATGATTTTTACTAGCTCTCTGGCAGCTTTTGCCCACCTTTGGGGTATGTGCCCTCCCCGGCTCTCACACAGCACCTGGGGGAGCAGGATGGGCTTGGGAGGGTGGCTCAGGTCCCGTGATGGCGCCCACTCAGCCCGGGGCTCAGCTCAGAGGCAGCTAGAACCCAGACCCCTCCAGCAGGGTCAGCAGGCATGTGAGGGAGGAGGGCACCAAGCACCCATGCTGGGTTTGGGGGGGGGCCACATAGGGCAGGAGCTCGGAGGTTGAACGAGCCCTGAGGTCCCACAGCATCAGTGGTCGCAGTGCTGCTGCAGTCCTGCCCACAGACCTTCCTTCTCTAACGGGCTGAACTACCCACTGGGTCTCCTTCCTTCCTGCCCTGTCTGCAGGGGCACTGACGGAGAGCACCTCTCTGCAGGCAAAAATTTCCCTTGCCAGGGGAAATAACTCATTTAAATCCCTGGTGAGATGATTCCTCCCACCGTGCTGCCTACCCTGCATCCCAATGGGGGTTTCCTATGGGGAAAGGGGCATTTCGGGACACTGGTGGGTGCTGATGAGGCTCTGGGTGACGGTCCCACAATCACTGGGGCAGGGTCTGTCCTGCTCCTGCAGCCTGGGTGCTAAGGGCATCCCTGCTCCCCTCCTTTTCCTCCCATGTACCTAGCAGAGGGGGTTTTCAAGGCACTGGTACCCCGCAGGCTGCAGAGGCAGTTCGTACCACGGTGTCTCTTTGCTCTTCGCCCTCCAGGCGTCCCAGAGAAAGTTGGCCTCTACTTTCTTTGTGGGGTCTCAGGAGGCCTCATGCTCCTGCTGTGCATCATCAGCCCCAAAACGACCTTCCTCCAGGAGGTGGGGGAGGCTCTCAAAGACCCGGAGCTCGGGAGCAGCTCGGAGCTGAGCAGGACCAAGCTGCAGGACGAGCAGGACGAAGACCTTCCCGATGACAGCTCCTCGGACTCCTCCTTCCGCCGCCTCACCCGTACCTACCGGGCCACCGACAGCATCTTTGGCCCTGAGCTGACGGCAGCCATGGAGGGAGCGGTGGAGCACCAGGGTCACGGCAGGGAGGAGATCTGGATGCCCAAGGAGTCAAGCCCATATGCTATCCACAAGATCAAATCGGCCACCAAATAAGAACTGGAAGAAAATGGCCAGAGAGCAGAGGGGGGGCAGAGTCTAAGTGGGATCTGACATAGGAGAGACATGAGAGTTTGAGCTCCTCAGGGTGAGTGGGTACCCCAAGTGGCAGCAGGGCCATAGCAGCCCCAGTGTGGCCATCAACCCACTGCTCCACCAGCCTGGAAACCTCTAACCTGGGAATAAGATGCAGTCCCTGGGTGTGATGAGGGGCTGCGGGATGGCTCATGGGGCCACTGGCTCCTTTGCCACCAGCATGCCGCTAACCCTAAGCTAACCTCCCCATTCTCGGCTTGTATCGGCTGGCTGTAGTACTTAACCCTGCTCAGCCATGCCAAGCCCACCCTGAGCCTTTCCAGGCTGTTTGCTCCTGTTTCTTCTTGGGTGCTGGCTTCCACCCCTGGTGCTGCAAACACCCCCCAGCACTCGGGCAGCATGCCGGCGGCAGAGACACAGAAATGGCCAGGACGCAGGGAGGATGTAGGCTGAGCAGGTGGAAAAGCGCCACGAGCATCACCCAGCCCTACCACGCCGCATGCCTTGCAGCCCCAGTATCCCCAGGGGAGCTGCACCCTGGGGCTGGGGCAGCCGGCAGCTTGGCACAGCACTGGCTCTCACCTCCCTGCAGGCACTTGGGAGCTCTGTCACCCTGTGTTGCTCTGTGCTTTCCTTCATGCTTTCCCCGCTGGCAGGAGAGCCCCAGGGTTAACTTGCTGGGGCTTTTTCCAGTAAATAAATGCAACAGCTCGTAGACACAACGTCCCTCCCTGAGCTCTGCCATTAATAGTGAAAAGGGAGGAAAAAGGAAGCAGCAAAGCTCAGCCCTCCCTGTGCAGATCGGCTCCTTGCCTCCTGCTGGTGTTTCTGGCACTGGGCCATGGGGAGCAACCAGCTGGGCCTGTTTTAGCATGGGAAAGGATAAGGTTTTAGCCTGGGGAAGGGAAATGCAGGAAAAGAGTCTGTGTGGATCTTATGAACAATGCTTCCCTGCCCTTGCTCCTTCTCTTGAGCCTGAGGCTCTCTGTCTGGTAAGCAATTCTGGAGCAAACATCCCCAGATGCCATGCAGAGGGGCTTCTTGGCAGCCCCATGGTGCCAGGGAGCCATGCTGGGTCTGGGGGCTGCTTCCAGCTCCAAAATGCAGCATGGGCTCTGTAGTGCTGTGGGAAGGGGAGCAGCGACCCAGCCCTTCTCATGATAGGGACACTCCAGGCACCAATGCTCTTGAGCTAGCATGTAGTGGGATCTATTTTTCCATCCACCACCGCACATGAAGTGCCTGGGCTGGGTGCAGCAAGAGAGGACTGTCAGGGATGTCAATGCACCCCTTAACCCAGCTGCTGGCACTGGTGGTCTGCTGGGGGCCAGGGAGGCACTGGCCCCATCTCTGAGGCCAGAGCTGCGCTGTGCTTGGTGGTGGATGCTTTTCCAGTGCAGAGCCGAGTGCCATGGCAATGCAGCAGCCTTGTGCTCCTGCTCCAATGAGGGGGGGCAAGGACTGGCGTCCTGCCTGATTTGGGGGTTTGCTGAGGGATGCCAGAGCCTAAGGAGAGTCTGGGGACCTTCACCTCAAACTGGCCCCCAGCATCCTTAGATGACAGGCAGGACTGACACCACAGACTTGCCTCCATGCTTGGACAGCTGGCACAGCTCCTGCTGCAGACCCATGGCATTCACCTTGCAGGGTCCACTTCTTGCTCCCACCCATCTTTCCTCCAGTACCCCACTGACAGCCAGGTAGGATTTCGGCATGTGTGGTGCGAGCTGCAGCACCTGCAGTGGGGCCAGGCTTCCCAAGAGCCTCGCAAGGAGCGCCAGAACAGCAGCGGGGGACTGGAAAAGCCGGCTTCCCCCTGCCAAGCCTGGGCAGGACAGGCAGACGCAGACCCGTCCCAAAGCAGGCAGCTCACCCAAGCCCCCTCAGGCAGACTTGGATGGGGGTTTTTGGCTGGGGATCTTATCCCACAGGCCAATGCACCATGTTTCCATCGGCGGTGGGATGCGTCCCAGCTCTGCCTGGCGAGCATGCACCTGACTCATATTTTTGGCTGGAGTGTGTGCTGCCCCAACATGTGCAAGGAGAGGCAGACACCTGGATCCCACAAGGATCCCAGACCAACAGTGAGTGAACCTCAGGGAGCTCCTAGGCCAGGGACAGCGGCGGCGGCACCAGGGGAGCTGGGGCTGGAGAGGACAAGTGGCAGAGGAGGAAACAAGACTGGCTGGAGCCACAGCAGCCCTGACCGGTTTTGGGGACTGAAGGTACCCGAGATCTGTGGGACCCATGTTTAAACCGCTGCTGGCCCTGCGAGCACCCCTCAGCCATGCCACACCCGAAAGCCGTTTTGCTGCTCCTGGCTGTCAATGGCCGCAGGTCTTTCTGCTAGACGTGTGGCAGAGCTGCCTGTACACGGCCCAAGCCGCCCTGCCTGTCAGCAAGGAGAAAGAACTGATCCTGCCTGCATGACCCCTGGGCAACAGGTTTAAGTCCCCTCGGAAGCTGGCACTGGGATGTTTCCCTAGCAAGGGGTTCATCAGCTCCACTGACAACAGCAGCACGTGGGTGTGGGATTATCCCAAAGGATTTCCTTGGGTTCAATTTAGGAATCTGGAAGGTTTTGCTGGGAATCTGCCAGCTGAGGGAAGCTCTGCTGCAGTGCTGAGCTTACCTTGACCTGGGGGGGGTTCCTTTGAGCCTGAAGCTTGGCGCAGTGCTAAAAGCCCCCAAGAGCTGGCGAGGGGAAGGGACCTCTGCATGACGGGTGGCACATGTGGGGGAAGGGGGATCAGGTCAGAGAATCCCCAAAGCCTCTGGGACCACAGGAGCAGCTCAAACGGTATGCGGGCAGGACAGGGGCTGCCCAGCGAGAACTACCCCACACAAGCAGGACAGCTCCTCCTCTCAGAGCCACCTTTTGCTCCCACCAGCCCAGCTCAGCGTCCCCCAGTTAGGCTCAGGCGATGGGCATGGAGCAGGTGCCTCCCACCCCAGGGTTGCAGGCAGGGGTTACCTCTGCCCCCTGCTAGCCCCTGCCACCCCTGCTCCCCCAGGTACTTGTCATGGCCAGCTGTGACATGGATATCACTCAATGCCTCCATCCTCCTTCCAGAAAATGAGGTGCTGGGGAAGTGGGGGTGACTGGCTGGGGGCTCCTCACTGGGGAGGTTAATCCCCCCCTTTGTGATCTTGGCAGGGGATGAGAAGCGGGCAGACCCTCTGAGAGCAACTGAGCTGGTGGAAGAGCCCAAGATGGACCCTCCTGGATCCCCCGAGCCCAGCAGGCAGGAGCAGAGGGCAGGGGAGGAGGCAAGAGAGACAGGCCCTTTCCCCCAGCCATGCTGCAAGGGTTTTTTGGAGCAAGGGGCTTTTTCCCTGGCCAGCATATTAAACAGCACCCGCTTATGCCCCATTTGAGGCTATGTCTGCAGCAGTGGATTGTAGCCCTCAGAGCTCAACCAACAGGGATGAACTGGTGGCTGCTGGTGCCACCCCTGCCTGGCTGGGTGTGATGGATGCACTCGACGCCTTAACCAAACTCGCGGTACTTTGGTTCAGGCTCCAAAGGAGATAAAGGTCTAAGCCGTAAACGGGCTAAGAACTTCTCTAGTTCCAATCTCTTCTCTGAAAACCCACAAAGGAGCAGAGTGACACAGTGAGCATCCATGCGTATGAGCTTGGAACACCGATCACGCAATTAACACATGAAAAGTGGTTGGCTTTTCCAAGACTCATTTATCAAGGAACAAAGAAAGTTGTGGGTACAGGGAGTCTCATGCATACCTTTCCCATCGCATGTCATTTGACTACGAGCCAACCACTTTATCCCATAAATATGATAGCCTAAGTGAGCCTTCTTTGAGGTCTCCCGACTAAGCAGCCTGGCGGTGATCTCCCCTTGTGCTGGGATGCCCTCAAGGTTGCTCCTCGAGGCAGGGAGACCTCTCACCAACAACAGATCTTTGGTAAGCGACCGACATCACGCATAACCTTGTAGTATGGTAACTGATTTGTGCCTTGGTAACTTTGATTTTGTCTCAGGAACTTTGACTCTGCCTTGGTAGTTTTGAATCATTGTTCAAATGATTATGCGGTACAGTAACAAAGAGAACCTTGCCATCGAACTTCGTTAAATCGCACTTTTATGACATCATGTTAAAACCACTTTCGCTAATCCTTTCGACAGTGTTCTTTAAGCGATCTAAACCACCCATTCACCACAGCGGGTCACAGGAGCTGCATGGCCAGCCCGGGGTACGCCCTGCCCCGCAAACCAGAGACCCCCAACACGGTGAGAAAGGGCAGCCCTGGTGTCCGGGGGGGCAAAGGAGTCGCCCACAGCCCTTGCTGCTGGCGGAGGAAGAGGGCAGCAGGCCGGGGTCGAGGCCCCTGCAGGGCGCACCAGGCCCAGAGGCCAGTGGAGGTCGCTCCGTGCCCCCCACGAAGGGCGGGAGAGCCGGGGCTGCTCCCCCGGAGCTCCGGGTCCCACCAGGGCATGGCAGGGGGTGGTGGAGGCGCGGTCGCTCCCCCACCGGCTCCAAGCCTGGCCCACCGGCCGCCACAACACCCACCCCACCAGCTCCCCCCAAACCCCTGCCTGCCCCTCCCCCGCCGCAAGTCACCCTTCCATTGGCCGCCGGGGCTGAATTTTAAACCCTGCCGCCCTGCCCCTTAGCAACCGCATCCCTATCCGCTCGCAGATTGGCCGCCGCCTGGCACCGCCCCGCACTCTGATTGGGCGACGCTCGGCCAGTGATGGCCGGCCGCTACCGAACTGCTACTTTCAAAAGAGCCGGGGCCGGCCGCGGGGTGGCGGCGCAGGTGAGTGGCGGGGGGTCTGTGGGATCCCTAGCTCTCCCGAGGGACTCCCGGGGGCTGAGGGAGGAATGCGGGGGAGTGGGGGCCCCCTGAAGGCTTAGTCCTTCTCTCCCTCGTGGGTGTCGACCGCCCCATAGGCTCGGTATCTTCCTCCCATAGGCCTGTTCCCCAATGTCCCGGGGAGGTCGGGGGTGGAGGCCCCTGTCCTGGGGGCTCCTGCTCCCCTGGGGTGTGGAGGTACCCTCGAGCTCACTTCCCTGCCTGGTGCTGGGGGAGGGGGAGTAAGGGAGTGGCAGCCTTTATCCCCTTCTCTGGGATGCAGGGAGCTGGGAACTGCCCCTCTCCTTCTGGTCCCAGCAGGGTGCTCTTGGTGGGGGTCGTGGGGCTCCATGTTCCCCCTCTCCCCTGGGATGAGCATATCAGCCCTTCCCCGCACCCCTAGCCAGACCTGTACCCTCCCTGAGGTTGCCTCGGGACACCATCTGTCTGCTTGGGGAGGGGGTTGGGGTCTGTCCCTGCTGTACTACCCCCCCAGGAGGGACAAATGCCCCATGATTCTGCCCCTAGTCCTTGAGGGTGTCCCTGGGGGCAGGCAGCTGCCCACATCAAGCCCTGCTCTGCTCCCAGCTTGCTCGTAGAGGCTGAGGGAGAGGATGCCGTTGCCACGCAATGCCAAGATGCTGAGCACCAAGCAGTCCCGAGCAGGCAAGGTGAGCTCTGCTGCAGAGAATGCCAACGCTGAGAAGGTGAGTCCTGTGCTGGGCAAGGGGTGTGGGAGGCTCCTGTGGGGCAGCTGGCTCCCCATCTTCTAACAGCCTTTATTGCAGGATGAGAGCTGTCAGGCCAAGAGGTCTCCATCCTCACCCCAGGGTGGGCCCAAGAAGAGGTCAGCATTTGGGGACATCACTAATGTGAGTGCTTCTGTGGGCGTGGGGGCTTTGGTGCCCCCTATGAGCCCCCCATGGGAGTGGGGCTGGATATCCCCTCCAGTATGCAGAGTCGGGGGTGTCCTGTGCCCCGTCAGCAGGAGGAGAGGTCTCCCTGCAGGGCACACCTCGCTTCCCTCTGTGCACCTCTGCATGCTCCCATTCTCACCCAAACAGGCTCACAAGAACCAGGTGGTGGCAGGGAAGAAGGAGGCTGTGAAAGTGGCACCACACAAGGCACAGAGGGCCCATGCTGCCCTGGGGGTGGCCAAGAACAATGAGATCAACCTGAAAAAGTGAGTAGCCAGGGGAGATGGGGACTGGGGCAGGGGGGACACTGCAGGGCCAGCACCTGCAAACCTGTACCATAGGGAAGAACAGGCAGTGGTGGGGGCTTCCTCTGGGTGATGGAGACCATAAGCCAGATGGGGAGGGCAGACAGTAGATAAAATCCTCAAGTTGGCAGTGGTGGGGGCTTCCTCTGGGTGATGGAGACCATAAGCCAGATGGGGAGGGCAGACAGTAGATAAAATGGCCTCAAGTTGCACCAGGGGAGGTTTAGATTGGATATTAGGAAAAATTTCTTTACCAAAAGGGTTGTCAAGCGTTGGAACAAGCTGCCCAGGGAAGTGGCTGAGTCACCATCCCTGGAGGTATTTAAAAGATGTGTAGATGTGGTGCTTAGGGACATGGTTTAGTGGTGGACTTGGCAGTGTTAGGTTTACAGCTGGACTTGATGATCTTAAAGGTTTTTTCCAACCTAAATTATTCTAAGAGTCTCTATGGGGATATTTTACAGGTGATTTAGCCCTTTCCTGAAGCAGCAAGGGGCTCTGGAGAACCCCTTTCAGCCAGGAGATGTGGCTTCCTCCCAGTAATGATTTATGCTCTTGTCCTGCCTAGGTCAATGAAGAAAACTCCCCCGACAGAGGCTACTGCAGAGCCCAAGGAGGATCCTGTGCCAGAGGAGCCGGTGCCTGCTCAGGTACCGAAGCCCTCCAAGGAGAGGGCAGGGACTCTGGGCTGCAGCCTGGCCCCCAGTCTTATCCTGATGGTGCTGGTCTATGGCTGCCGCTGGTGATACCGGGGCACCAGGCAGTGCTTTGGACCTCAGAGATATCGGGCCAGTGTGATGGGAAGCTGGGGAGGGCGGTAAACCCCCCTGCCTTCTTCCTTCAAAAGATCTCCCATGGGAAAGAGTGGGGTGGGGGCTGCAGGGTGATGGGGAAGGGGGTGCAGAGGTGCAGCAGCCTTGCCCTGAAGGGGTGACTGGCACCCACAGAGCTCAGTCTCCCCCTTACCACTGCCTCCTCCATCCCACCAGGTACCAGAAGTGGAGGACATAGACAAGGAGCAGCTGGGTGACCCCTATGCCAATGCGGAGTACGCCAAGGAGATCTTTGAATACATGCGGGGAAGAGAGGTGGGTGATGCCTGGCCAGGGGGTGGCAGCCCTGTGTGGGAAAGGGGTAATCATGAGGGCAGGGCCACCTGCTGCGCAGAGGCTCTGAGCGCCTGGCAGGGGCCTGCATGGGGCGGGAGGGGGCTCATTTGAGAGTGGTGGTGTCTGTCGAGTCCCTGATAGCTGGTACCTCGGCAGGAGAAATTCATGCTCCCTGACTACATGGAGAAGCAGCCAGACATCAGCGGGGACATGCGTGCCATCCTGGTGGACTGGATGGTGGAGGTGCAGGTATGTGGGCATGGGGAGGGGGCATGGCCTTCTGCCGAGCGGCCCCCATCCTGCCTTTGGCATGTGGGACCTCAGTATGCTGGCAGAGGCTGCTGCAAGTGTCCCGAGTGCAGAGCTGATCTTCCCCCTCCCCAGGCTGGGGATGAGCCTGCATCCTTCCCTCCGAGCCTGGCCCTATGGGCACCTCTGGCCCCTGTGAGGGAACCTGGGGGGGCCAGGTGGGCCTAGCTTCTGCCTGACACCCATTCCTGCCCACCTGCCTGCATCCTTGCAGGAGAACTTTGAGCTGAACCACGAGACGCTGTACCTGGCTGTGAAGCTGGTGGACCACTACCTGGTGGAGGTGGTGAGCATGAGGGACAAGCTGCAGCTCATCGGCTCCACCGCCATCCTCATTGCCTCCAAATTTGAGGTGACTCCTTGTGTGCTGTCTTGGGGTGCTGGGGCAGAGGGGGCTGTGCCTCTCTGGTCCCCATGGGTTACTGGAGAAGGCCAGGTCCCCATGGTGCCGGGCCACTGCCCTGAGAGCTGCTGGGGTGGCATGCCTGTCCTTGTGTTACCCCTTCCTATCCCAAGGGCTGTGAATGCAGTCCTGGTGGGCTGGATCCTGTCTTCTGGTGTTACTGGAGACCTGGCTCCTCTCTGCTCTGCAGAGACCACCAGGACATCCGAGTTCAACCTCATGCAAGCAAGGCTTGGAGTTAGAGCCAAGGGCTGGGGCAGTATAGACAACACACAAGCCCCACTGGATGTTGTAACAGTCCTTTCAGGGTCTGGCAGGGCATGAGCCCTTACAGAGCCTGCAGACTGGTAGGATTTCCTGAGCGTTGCCAGGATAAGTCCTTGTTAGAGTGCTGAGCAGTTGTGCCCCAGCAGGAGCGTTGCCCACCGTGTGTGGATGACTTCCTCTACATCTGTGACGATGCCTACAAGCGGGAAGAGCTCATTGCTATGGAGATGAGCATCCTCAGCACCCTCAAGTTCGACATCAACATCCCCATCCCCTACCGGTTCCTGCGACGCTTTGCCAAGGTGGGTGTAGCAGGAGGGTGGGCTGGTGTCAAGATGCCTCCAGGCATCCCTTGTGTTGGCTCCCTGGGGTGGTGATGTGCATCCCTGGGGCCCTGGGCTCCCAGCTGGCAGCAAGGAGGGTTTGGCCAGGCCCCCCCAACAGGGTTAAGGGGTGAGGATGCTGATCTGTGGCAGGCTGGGGCTGTGGGATCTGTGTCCTGTGCCCTAGGGGCAGCACTCTAGATCCCAAAAAAGTTGAGGGGGGGAGCAGCATTGCTCAAAAGGCTGAGCCTTTCCCTGCCTGCCTGGCTGTAGTGTGCCCATGCCACCATGGAGACACTGACGCTGGCCCGCTTCCTCTGCGAGATGACCCTGCAGGAGTACGACTATGCCCAGGAGAGCCCCTCCAAGCTGGCTGCCAGCTGCCTGCTGCTGGCACTCACCATGAAGGACCTTGGTGGCTGGGTAAGCGCATGCTCAACCTGCTGTCCTCCCTGAGGCACCATGGGGGTGCAGGACTGGATGGACCAGTGTGCGGGGATAATGCTCTGGGGCTATGCTCAGATTTGTGGGGCTGGAGAGGGAAGATAATGGCTGTACCATTGCTGAGAGGACCCCCAGCTCAGCCCTGCTGTCCCTTTGCAGACCCCCACCCTGGAGTACTACAGCGGGTACCGCTCCCAGGACCTGCATCCCCTGGTGAAGAGGCTGAATTTCCTGCTCACATACCAGCCCCATGACAAGCTGAAGGCTGTGCGCACCAAGTACTCACACAGGTGAGCATGCCTGCCCACTCTGTGGAGGGTGGCACCACCAGCATGCACCCTTGGGTGCTGCAGAGAGCTTGGGGGGGCTCTGGTGGATGGGTGTCAGGGCTGTGGCTGAGCTCTAAGCCAACATCGTTCCTTCCAGGGTCTTCTTTGAGGTTGCCAAAGTCACCCCCATGGACATGCTCAAGCTGGAGGAGATACTGAAGAGCTGCTAGCCTTTATCTCTGTAAATAGCCTGTAAATAGCTGGGTGCTCTCTGGCAGGGGAGCACCATGTACATAAATAGCAGCAATTTTAACTGAAGGGGAGGGAAGGGGCGGGGGGAAAAAAAGTCATGTGGAGCTGTCAATAAAATATTGTGTTTTGTCTTATGAGCTGGTGGTGGAGATCATGCTGAGCCCCTGAGCTGTGTTGGGGCAGGGGGGGAGGGTTGCATGATGGGGAGCATAAAGGGGTCAGAGCAGGAAGCTGAAGGCTGAAGGGGCCAGGTCTCCATTACCCTCCCCACACCCCTCACCTAAGTAATGACACTACACAAGCAGCAGCAATGAGTATCTTTTCTCCAACTATTTACACAGCTTAAATACCCACATGGGGAAGGGGGATCTTTGCTTTGGCCCCAGTTTGGGCACACATATGGCAGCCCAAGCTCCTGTAGTGACCCTGCTGTGGGCTGGACTTGTCATGCCATGTTGCCTATGGGGCTACACCTCTGCTTTAGTGTTTCCAGCTCCACAGGTGTGGGAAGAAGCAGTGGCTCCAGGGACACTGGGGGACAAACAACCAGACAAAGCGAGGCAAGCAGGGGGACTCCACACACATGGGGCACAGTGGGGACCTAGAGCCCCCCTGCCTGACCCCTGGTCCCTAGGGGCAGCACCCAGTTTGTGGGCTGGGCTGCTGCCCTGCTGCTGGCCTAGGGTGGGTTGCTGAGCTCCTTAATGGCCTGGAGGACTCTCTTCATGTGGCCCACTTTTGTGATCCCCAGGTCCTGCAGGAAGGAGAGAAAGGAGCTGATGTGCTCGTAGGGGGCCAGCCCTCAGCTCTCGCTGGCAGGGAAGCCATGCAGCAGAGGACAAGGCTGCAAAGCCCAGCTCCCCATGCTCTCCCTGCAGTGCATGGTCCTTGCTAGGAGCCCTCTGTTCTCTTGCAAGCGTGTCCCCATGTCTGAGTGCAGGAAAGGGCATGGTGCTGTTGATCCTGCTTTGGGCAGGCATACAGAGCCTTGCAAGCTGGGGGGCTGGGGCCAACCCCCTCCTCTGCTTCCAGCCCCTGCATACAAGCTAAGCAAGTGGTGCAAGCTCAGCCTTGCTTTCCCCCCCCCGCCCCGACAAGGGATGGGGAGAGGAGGTATGGAGGACACCATGCTCCCCAGGGCTGGGGGTCCCTCAGGGGGGCACAAGGGGGATTGTACCTTCAGGTCTCTCCTCTCCAGCAGGATCAACTCAGAGCCCTGGATGTCATGCCGGACAAAAATGTCTCTGTACTCCCCTAAACCGAGCGCTTCCAGCCAAGCTGCCACCTCCTCGGAGCCCCACTTGTCTGCTAGCAGGGAGGAAAACCACAGAGGTGGACTGGGTCCCCGCAGAGGCAGCTGGATGCAGCAGGGCAGGCAGCAGGCAGCCGAGGGCAGCGGTGGTGGCAGGCTGCAGCCAGCATCCCCCCCCTCCCACCCCCAGCTCTGGCAGGGCCAGAGGCCACAGCAGGCTTAGGCTGGAGATGTTTCTCCTCAACTTACTTACGGAGCATCCGAGCTTCCCCTCGACAAGATCCCCAGTGCTGGGGCAGGAACTTACCCAAAGAGCTGATCTGTACCATAGCCCCCTTCTCCCCCTTGCAGTGGTGGTGGAGTTACAGGGCTGGGGGGCTCCGCATGTCCATTAGCAGAAAAATTAAGCTCTACGGGGCTGTTGGCGACAAAGGTGACATCCCCAGGCAGCCAGGACATGCCCTGTCCCCCTCCCAGAGGGTCCCTCCACAGCATGCCCAGGACAGGAGACCGATGGATAGGTCAGCACATGGGGGTCCCTACCAGTGTGGGCTGTGCCTGTCTCCCTCCCTGGCACGCCGCCTGTTTTACCTGGGAGTGCACTGTTGGTCTTCTGCTTTTGCACTTTGTCCTTGTCCTTCCTGGGCTTGGGGATGTTGAGGCGAAGCTTGAAGCTGCCCTTGTTGGCGCTGCCGGTGCTTTCCTGCGAGAAGCCAGGCTGAGGGGGGTCCTACAGCCCCCCGGGGCCACCTGGTGGGCTATGCCCCCCTTCCCCGGTCCCTGTGCACCCACCTCCTCAGTGGGGTGGACAATGGGACCCAGCCAGTGGATGTCCAGCAGCCTCTGCAGCTCCTGGCCCAGCACACTCAGGGGACCGTGCAGCACTTCCTCCTCCTGCGGTGAGTCCAGCTGTGGGGGACAGGGACCATCCCCAGCCCTGCTGCCACTCCAGAGGTGCTGGCCAAGGGCACGGCCCCCTCCGCTGGGGGGCTCGGGGTGCTCTCTGGTCCCGCACTCACCGCCTTCCCTTCCAGGAATGCCCTGGTCTCAGTGTACAGCTCCTTGATACTCAGCACCACCTCCACAGCCACGTTCCTGCTGAGAAACTGGGGGACATGGAGGGGTGACCCCTTGAGCAGCAGGGCTCCGGGGCAGCTGGGTGAAGGTTGCCTTGCACCCCCAGCCCTAGCTCACCTCCGAGGTGCCAGTGGCTTTGTTAGAGAGGGCTTCACTCAGTGCTAGGGAGCTGGTGTTGACAGCGTGTGCCAGCTCCTGCTCCACAGCTTTGTGAGCCTTGGCTGCCTCATGGATCCTGTGGGCGAGAGGGGCTGGAGCTGCCGGGGCTCCCCTGGGCTCAAGAGGCAGCACAGGACTAGGAGACCCCTGTAGCTATGGGTGGCCACAGCAAAGCTCCCCCCCCCGCCCCACCCCCTTGTGCCCACCACATCCCCCATCCCGCAGCCTGACCTGGCAATGAGAGTCTCAGCAACCCGCGAGACCTGCTGCAAGAGGCTGCTCTCCTCCTCAGTCAGGTACTCCATGGACTGCTGGGAGCTGAGCCGCGGCCGGGTGGCTGCTCGGTAGCTCTCCCCCTTCTGCTTGTCCTCCCAGGACTTGAGGGTGCTTTCAAATGCCTGCAGGGGACAGAGATGGCCCCCTCAGCCTGTCGCACCTCCCCATGCCCCAGCACAGCCCCGCTGCATGAGCTGTGCAACCCCAAGCTCACCCGGTCCCTTGTCAGCATCTGGGCTCGGTTCTTATGCTGGATCTTGATGATGCCGGGCGGCTGGATCCAGGCTTCTCCGTCCACCTGCACGGGAACGCCCTCATCCCCCCGGATGGTGATCTTCACCACGCGGCACTGTGGGGTGGACAGCCTGGGGTTGGCATCACAGCTGGCACTGCACTACTGGCTTCAGCTGCCATGCCAGGGCTGAAAAGCCTCCCAGCACCATGCCAGTGCCAGCCAGGAGCCTGGCTGAGCTGCATCGCCCCAGGCTCTGCTGGTGCCCCAAAAGCTTTCCAGCACCACGCAGGGTCCCACAGGGTCCCCTGCCCCGTACCTGCGCGATGCGATGGTGCTGGAGGTTGATGACCCGTGACACAGCCATCTGGATGCTGCCGAAGACAGCCACCACCTCCAGCTTCTTGTCATCAAAGGATGGAGCCCCAAAGTTCTGTAGAGGACCAGTACAAGTAAGACCCCCCCAAACCAGGCTCGTTTTGGGACCTAGCTTTTTTCCCCCTGTGTGTGCCCAAAGCAGGCACACCCTAGACCCCTGCCCGAGGGCTCCCAGGCTCCCTGGGACTGTGGGAAGGATGTCATGCCCCCCCTTCCCACCCCACGGTGCTGGCACTCACATTGTCTTCCTTGGTGCCTCCCCAGAAGTTGATGCCCCCGGCGTAGCTGGGAATGTTGAGGACAGCGATGCCCTGCAGGCTGGGCAGCGAGATGGGCACCCCATCACACTGCAAGAGAGGGCTGAGCCTGGGGGGCCACTGTGCCACCACCCCCCCCACCACATCCCTGTTCCTCCCAGCCCTGTACCTCCAGCTGCACCCGCTGCTCCAGGTTCTTGTAGGTACGCTGCAAGAGCTCCTTCGTGCCCAGCACCCCGTACCACATCATGTTCTTGGTGCGGCTGCTGCAGGGCAAAGCGGGCTGGGTGAGAGGGGCTGTGGGCTCCCCCCTGCCTGTCGCAGGCTCTGTGTCCACCCTGGGGCACTGGGCTGAACAGCCGGCCTGGACCGCTGGCCCTGTGCCTGCCTCAGTTTCCCCACTCCCAGAGCAGGGGGGCTGCCCACTAACTCCTGGAAGATGCAGGCTGCAGCATGTGGCACCCAGACATGCACCATTCCATGCTGGCATGGCAATGTCTCCTCTATCCAGGTGCAGAGTGGGTAAATCCCACCAAGCCCTCCTATGCCCGTTCACACACCCAGAGGGCATCAGAAGCCAGAGCCTCGCAGCAGCCCTCCCCCTTCCTGGGGGTGTTTGCAATCTGCCGCCCACCCAGGGGTGCTCACCCCAGCACCGCAGCACTGGGTGCAGGTGGAAAACCTGCCGCAGGAAGGGGTCCCCAGGCAGGCACAGCAGCCCCAAGCTAACCCCATGGCTCCCGGCATCCTGACGGCCCCTCCTGGTGCCAGCATTGGAGAGCTGGGGGGGGGGTGGTTACATGTTTTTCCCAGAGGAATCTGCAGGGGGGGGGGGTTCAGCCAACCTGCATTTCTTGGGGTGCTCATCCCGTTTATTGTTGAACTCCAGGGAGATCTTTGCATCCAGGCCAATGCCGAAGTAGTTATTCATGACGCATTTCTCCGAGAAGTGGCTGAAAGTGGCAGACAGGGCGGGCGAGTTGGGAGGCAGCTGCACATGGGTAGCTGCTGGGCTGGCACCGGGGGATGGGGTATAAAACCCGCTGGAGCTGTGGTGTGAGCTCCCAGAGGGGTTGGCACTGGGAAGCCTGACCCAAGCCAGCAGGGATGGCTGGAGCCCCCTCAGTCCCCATGGTGGGACACCCGTGGCGCACCCAGGACCTGCCTGCACTGGACAGGGGGGGAGCCCTGAGCTCCCAGCATGAGCACAATGCTGGCCAAGGAATGGCAGCAAGAGATCCTGCACTAGGCACATGCAGGCTTCCCTGGCACAGGCACCACAGGGCCAGGGAGGGCTGGGCACCAGGGATGCCACACTGGTGGGCATAGGATGCCTCAGCAGGCATCTCCAAGAG